CGCATTATACATCTTCCGTGGACTTCTTAGACGTCAGAATAGGTAACTGACCTAAAATGACCTAGGTCAACATTTTGTTCTAGGAACATACTGCCTGGCGTTATCTTTTGTCGCTCAGTCAAATGCAAAACTCAAAGCAATTTTGTAAGATGTTGGTCATCTTAACCTTCAAAAGGTTAAACAAGGTCAATGACCTGAAATGAGAAAGCGACATTTTGCTTAGAAACGGTTGTCTACGTTCTGGGGGCCCTTTGGAGTTCCAACCTGGAACTTAACCTTGTTTGACCTTTTTTGACCCAAAAGTCATGACCTAGGAATCTGAAACTTTTTACCTACGTTTTTTCACACATATCTTACTGTCTTTGAGTATGGGGTGGCCCGGTCTAGCGTCAGGTACAGAGGACTAAAAAGACATCAAGTTTTGCCGCCAGGAGTGTCTCTGGATTGAGACGAATCCCACCTGCAAACACCGACTCGCCCCGGCTGTCTAATCTCTTCTTAAACCACGTTCCTCTGTCCCACTAAGGGAGACGTGCTACTCCATGTCAATGTCTCTGTCAATGTCAATGCCCACCCAGGTGCTGATTGGAAGATACCAGGTGAGACTTTTCTTAACGTACCGCAGCAATTTGGAACCGCCTGCCTCCGACCACCACCGTCTTCATCTCTGACTTTTGAGCAGTTAAAATCTCGCATTTCAAAACGCAACTATTAGGGCATGCGCTTTAGTTTTAAGCTATGCTAATTGCCTGTGTGATTGTATGATAAATGTATGTACGTGTTTGATCTTTGCAAGTCAATGCGGATCCTATCTACTCGCAATTTATTTTCATTCACTTTGGTGTGTGCACACTAGGTTGCGCACATTTTATTGTCAGTTTAGAACATTTATTGGAGGCATCATCTGGCCTTGTACGTGTTTTATAGCATCGCGTTTCACCGTATCGCATCTTAGAATATAGATTTCAACGTTTTGTATTTACAATATCATATTGTGTTCTATGGTCGATAGTGTCGTATTTTGTCGTATATTTTGTAGCATCGACTTTTCTAACCTTTTTTTGTAATGTGTTGCAACCAGGTGCGTGAGTGGTGTAACGAACCAAAGCTACCGAACGTCGCAAGGAGCCGAAGGTCTGAAAAACCACCTCGTGGATGGTTTTCGAGCGAACAAATCCAAACGCGGAGATCCGCTCTTGCATCTGCCCAGAGTGATGACGTGCGGATAGTTGGCGAGTGGTACGTTTCGGCACTGACGGGAGGGTGAATGGCATCAAACGGTGTGCGGCCGGTCTGGCTTTTCGCATGGCACAGGTATTCGTTGGAGCACGGGTACTCGCTTTGTTTGGTCCCGCCGGTAGGAAATGTTTGCTGAAGTCGCATGTCTGTTGCACGACTTTCTCGGCCGCACATCGATCTTTCAGTTCGGTTTTACAGATGATGCATGCATGATATCCAGCTGGAAAACGAGATCTCTCTAACGCAGAACGGAGCAGATAAGTATTCGTGGTCCTGTTTTTGGCCCTGGCGGTACGCATTTGAAGCCAGGATGAGTGTATGCTGCCCTGCACCTTTTTGGCCCTGGCAGTCCGCATTTGAAGTCAGGGTAAGTGTACGGGGCCTTGCACCTTTTTGGCCCTGGTGGTCCGCATTTGAAGCCAGGATAAGTGTATGGTGCCTTGCACCTTTTTGGCCCTGGCGGCCCGCATTTAAAGCCAGGGTAAGTGTACGGTGCCTTGCATCTTTTTCACCAGCTGGTCACCAATGAAGGCAAGCGCCATGTATAAGGTACTCTGGTTTCTACGGGGCTGTTGTTACGTGTCATTTGTTTTGAAACTTTAGTGTTACACTGGTCGGTCGCGTGATAAGGTGTGTGCCTGCTCCAGCAAGGAAGGTGCGAAACGAAGCGGGCGCCAATGCTGCAATGACCATCTGCGTGAAGTCAGGAGCCAGACCATCGTCGTTCGGTGACTATGCGTCCGTCAGTCACCCAAACACACCGCTCAGCGACCATCTGCACATCAGCATTCTGCGCGGCTGTAAGGATGGGACTGCCAGGGAAGTTTCCTACCCCTTTTTTATGAAACATCCCCAGAAGACGAGGGACGTCTTTGACACGTTGTCCGCACTGCTTGGCGTCATCAACTGCGCACCATCTGTCGGCATTCAATCCGACGACCATATCGCCGCTAGATGGCAGGACCGGAGTCCAAGTGGCGTGGCTTTGAATTGCCAGTTTGGCGCCGCCAGCGGCGGAAGCTAGGGACGCCTGGCGCCTCTTTTTCTCCTTTTTTTTACCCATCTATCAACCTGGTGGCGAGCGCCAAAAATTTGCATCCACAAGTATTCTGACCTTCACTCATAACCCATCCAACAAGCCAACAAAAAGGTTCAGTGCTTCTGAGACTCCAGGCCTCATCTACCACCTGCTGTCTTTAGCCAGAAGATTCGAAATGCTGGCATACCACCATCCCATGTGTTGTCATGTACAGCTGCGTACGCGCGGGCGATCGTGGCTCGGCACCGGATCAGGCGCCCTCCCGTCTCCACCCATCCGCTCCTTGCTTAGCATCCGATCATGCAGGCGCCCTCATCCGCGCCCTCCCGTCTCCACTCACCCACTCCCGGCTTAGCACCGAATGAGGCACCCCTCTCTCCACCCACCCGCTCCTGGCCAGAACGCCGTCGCTCAACAATCGAATACATTTATTTCCTTACAAAATATTCGAACGACTAAAACATAAAATATCCGATGACGGCCGGACGGCGCCCCCGGCGGGAAACAGTGGCTCACACGGACACTCGCACGAGCGCGATCGCGGCGCGGAGAGACAGACAGCAGGAAGGTTGAATTCCGCAGCGGAGCAGCGCGCCCCGTCGCCCCTAATGGCCCAATCACACGTCAGGTCAGGTCAGGTCAAGTCCGGTCGCGTCAGGTCGGTCCGCCGACTGCCCGGCGCCTGCAGGATAAAAGTCCCCAGTCCCACAGTCCTGCACACATCACAGCTGTCGACGTCGTCTGGCGTCGGGCGACCGCGGCGCGCCCGGTGGCACACGCCGCGCCGCCCGCCAGGCCGCGGCCCGGCTAGAACTGGAAGCCGCCGCCGACCGCCGCGTCCGTGTCCACGCTGAGCTGGAAGCCAGCGGCGTCGGCGGCCGGCTGCGCCACGTGCGAGTCCTCGTCCTCCTCGTCGCTGAAGTACTTGCTGATGATGGTGGCGGCCTTGTTGTAGATGGTCTCGTTCTCGTGCGACTGCAGCGCCTCGATGCGGTCGAGGCCGCCGCACTCCTCCACCTGCAGCGCCACGGTGCCCTCCTGGCCCATCTGCTCGGCGAACTGCGGACGGGGCGCCGATGGCGTCAGACAGCGACAAAGGCCAATACAGTCCGGCACGGCTCACATACGACGCCACCGCACGCCCTGGCCGGTGGCCAGCCGAGGACACACAGACACGTATTCACAGCACAACTAAGGCACCGTCAGTTAACAATGCATCGCACTGGGACAATTTCCAACACCAAAACACTCCTCCTGTGGATCAGTCCTATCTGCACATAAATCAACGAGCAGTGCAACCTTTCACAAAGCGCACGTTTCAAGCGCGCGGCGCCACGGCGCGCGAGCCGGCGAGCGGTCCGCGGGTGACGGTCTCGGCGCCGCGCTCCTACCCGCAGGATGTTGGAGAGTGCGTCCAGGATGACGGTGACCAGCTTGGCGTCCTCGGCGGCCAGCAGGTCACACAGCGGCTTGACGACGCCCAGCCGGCAGAACTCGGCCACTTGCTCCTGGGAGCCTCCCGACGTCAGGTTCAGGATCACCCAGACCGCCTCCCGCTGCGACCGGTAGTCGCCCTGTCCGACACACCCGCCAGCGACGGACGCACGCGTGAGAACAATGGTGGAACCGACCGCAGACACGTCAGGCTGCTCCGTCCGTTGCGACGGCGGCAGCCGAGGGCACAACACGCCACACCACAACAAACCACTCACAGCAGCGGCCGGGCGGTTTGCCAAAGGGTGCCGAGGACGCAGGATCACGTGTACCGATAACGGCACGAGGACCACGAGCACCGGTACTACGCTGCAAATGGTCCGTGGCGGGCCAGGCGTACAGCCCGCCGTCGCCGCCGCTCCGCTCATCAACGCACCTTTTGCAGCACCTCCAGCACGGGCGCGAGCAGGCCCGCGTCGATGACGGCCTGGATCTGGTCCAGGTTGCCGGCCGTCACGTTGCTGATGGTCCAGGCGGCCTCCTTGACCACGTTGGGTTTGGTGTGCGCCAGCAGGCGCGGGAAGTAGGCCATGGCGCCGGCCTTCACCACCGTGTCCGTCTGAGCGTCGCTGCCCGTCACGATGTTGCCCAGCGTGCGCAGCGACGGCGAGATGATGGTCGGCTCCTGACGGGGGAGGGGGAGGGTGAGGGGTCAGGTGCTGCTCATCCGGGACGCGGGCCGGCTGTGGAGGGAGTACGGAGCCGCGAGACCGCGCGGCGCCGCGGCGCGAGAGCGACGGTTACAGGACGAGGCACTAGCGCAGCTACTCTCAACATGACCGCCAGACGCCCCAATGCTGAACAGATCGGGAAAGCACGGAGAAGCCAGGTATGTGCAAACCGGATCCCAGTACACGTAACTCTCAGACCACAGATCACGAAGTCATTATCAAGTCATTGGCTAACATCAAGTGGGCTTCACAACGCACTCAGCTGCTGAGGCTTTATGGCGCCGCGTGCCTCTCGCTCTGGCAGGGAAGGCGGGCACCGCGGATAATAGAACCAAGCACCTCCGTTCCCTAGACGTGCGGCTTATCCACCAAGCCACCGATACCCCGATTATTGCGGTGCACACCAACTGCGCTGGTCATTTTGCGCCCAAAACGAGCAACATGGACATCAGCGTCAGCACAATGTGTGTACTCTCCATTGGTAATGCAGACTTGACAGTGATACCACAGTCAGCGACCGTTGGAGAGCCATTCCTGTGGCCTAGATTTTGAACACGCACCCACATTGGACATGGTTACGCGTCTTCGATCTGGCGTCACTCATCACAGAGAGAACTAAACAAAAACTGATGTGATATGTGACATGACAGCACCCAGCTATGGCGACAGACAACAGTGACATGGGAGCCCAGTCGTGACGGCAGAGCCATGACATGACGTCCCACCCCGTGGGAGCCAGAGCGCATGGCCCTCGTACACCCCGTCCACCGAGGACTGTTCTGCCCCGCACCGTCCATTGTCCGCCACGTCCACCAGACAGGCGCGCGCACGCGACCTGGCGCATGCGCGGCCGTCCCCTGCAGCGGCACCCACCTCGGAGCCGAGCAGCTCGACGAGGCGCGGCACAACGCCCGCCTCGATGACGCGCTCGATCTTGTCGTTGCTGCCGTCGGTGAGGTAGGAGAGTGCCCAGCACGCGTCCGTCACCACCTCCGTGTCCGTGTGGTGGATGAGGAGCGCCAGCGCCGGCAGGCACTGCTGCACAGTCTCGAACGGCGGCGGCGGGTTTTTGTTGCGGCACAGGTTGCTGACGGTCCACGTGACGTTGCGCAAAAAGTGGGCGTTGGTATCGGGCCGCACGAGCGCCAGCAGCGGCGGCACGATGCCGCAGCCGATGGTGTAGTCGCGCAGCTCCGGCCCATCGCCGGCGATGTTGCCCAGCGCCCAGACCGCCTGTTCGGCAACGTGCTGGTGCTCCGAGCTGAGCAGCGCGATCAGGTGCGGCACCGAGCCCTGGTTTGCCACGAACTGTCGGCAGCAGGGCGGCGCCGGTTACATCAGGCGCGGCTGCACGGGCATACGGTCACGGGTGAGAGCCGCCCACACACAATCATCCCCAGTGACTGCAGCGTCCTCCGTCGTTTGATTGGTTTGGCCTCCTTCAGACGTTACAGACCAGCCGCTACGCCGTCCAACCGGCGCGCCAGACCAGTATCTGGCTCCTGACATCGCGACCGGCGCGCCGGCCGACCGCGTTACACACCGGCCCACAGCGCCCCCCGCCGGCGACTGACCTTGGTCTGCTCGGAGGTGCCCGAGGCAATGTTGGTGAGCGCCCAGGCGGCCTCGAACTGTAGCTGCGGGTTGTCGGCGTGCGTGAGGAAGCGCACACAGTGCGGCACGATGCCCGCCTGGATCATGGTGTCGATGGGAGGGTTGCGTTCCCGGCTGAGGATCTTGCGCGCCGCCTGCACGGCCGTCAGCTGCGCCGACTTGTCCGAGCCCAGGATGCCTGCCGGCCGACACCAGCGTCAGTTAAGTCTCCGCGGCCGTCCCGCACCGCTTGTGACACGCGGCCAGCGCAGGCACCGCCGTCGGCAGAGGTGGGCCGCGTCACGTGGAGCGCGCGGGAAGCGAGCGGACGCGACACGAACGAGGGGCTGACAGTGTCGCCGGAGTTACGGCCAACGTGACCAGGTCCGCCACTAACATTGACATCATCATTTCCGCCGTCTAGTGATGGCCAACCGGACCGGACTTGGGTAATCACACAATGACAAAATACAGGGACACCACACCACCTGCCCGTCAGTGACTGCCATCATTCATCAGCAGCCAGCGAAAATACGCCAGATCACTGCGGCTGTTAGTCTCGACGTCCCCGGACGCTCTGAGGCCATTACGAGCACTGTTCGGGGATGGACTTTGGACTGATACTGGCTGCCTGGAGTAATGACTGCGGTCATAGCTGATCATCAAAAACCTTATGGAACGCAAAAATAGTTCAGAATGGCACATGCTTTTAATTTATCTAATACGTCACGAGAGCGTCAATGACGAACAGTGCTAGTCAAACCGAATAAACACAAAAGTGGCATTAATCCAGGGCCAGAATTTCATAGGACTGATTACACTTAAATCTAGGGTGGCATTGTCAAATTTCCACACATGACATGTTATATGATGAAGGATAAAACAACACACACCAAGAGGCAAAAACATTATGGAGCACAAATATGCAATCTCTTACTCACAAACACACTCTCATGGCACAAGCTCTGCTGGTTAGTCAAAATACATGGCATTTGCACGCTGCAGCCTCACTCACCAGAGACTAACGCCGCGAGCGGCAGGTCGCCGTCGACCGAACCACCTTTCCAACACACAACATCCTATCAGGATGGACAGGGACATGACACCGCCCAAGGCACGTTCCACGTCAATTGCAGCACCGCTCACTGTACAAACCAAACACATCAGCTGCACACGCACTCCCCCTGTAACACAACTTTACAATGCTCGCTACACCATGCAGGAAAACTGCATGTTGTGGTGCCGCAGCACCAAACAACTGGCTGATGTGCGTTGTCAGACGCTTGAGCCATCAGTCCCGGCCGCAAAGCCCGCCACCCCGACCCGGCCTGGGTGGGATCGGTTCGGGTCGGTTCGGATCGGTTCCAGTCCACTGACCTGCGACGATCTCGTCGATGCTGAGCGACGGCGGCTTGGCGGAGTTGGCCTTGGTAGACTCCTGCAGCGGGCTGGTGGCCGCGTCCTCCTCGCTCAGGCAGATGTTGCGCCGCTTCAGGATCTGGTCGTCCTTCTTGGCCTTGCGCAGCTCGACGCTGGTCTCCTGGCGCCGGCGGCGCAGCTCTTCAGAGTCCTTGCCGCGGTTCTTGAAGGTGCGCATGCGCGCCGCCGATCCCCTCTCCTCGGCAGACATGCTGGCTGGCTGGTTGGATTATCTGCTGGAGACACAGGTACAACATCAGCACAGAGCTCACAGATATGCCAGAGAAAACTGTATGGGAGCTTTACACAGCATCACACAAATGAATGCTGAGGGCAAAAATTGCTGCCCTTGTGGTAACACATGCAGACTGCATGTAGAAGAATTGTGATCAGCTGAAATGCATACAAACTGGCTGCTAGCAAACACACAGAAAGTTTGAGGACCAACAAAGCAATGCATGAACTAAGTGAATTTAAATTTAATATGTTGAGTGGTGAACACATTTTGCAAAAGCAAAAGGTCACTAGACCTTCACACACATTCAGATGGGGGTCAATTTGACCCCACAGGTTTTTCCAAAATGATCTCCGAACAGTACAGCATGACCATGCCAAATTTTGCAAATCTTCTAAAACAATCTTATTAGAACTATGAAAAGCTGTTCATTTATTCACCAAACCAAACCAAAGAAGCCATTTGTGTACAACCCAATCTGAAAAAAGGCATACTGTGCCCAATAGCTAAGTACATTGATGCCCTGGAACCAACCCATGCAAACGATGTTTAGACAAATTTATGCTGAATTGGGATCTATTTTAGCTTAAAACACCATTCTGTGCAAGTCTTTACATGGGACCAATTTTGGAAACATTGTGGGAGAAATTTCTCAACTAGAGCAGCACCTGATATATTGGTGCATGTCCTAGAATGATGCACACACCAGGCCAAAAAAAATTGTATACAAAAACTAAATGCACGCAGATAACAGGCACTACATTTATCCCAACTGTGTCATATTTCTTAACCTCCCACCTTTTGGTCTGCAGATGTCTTGCCACCTTTTGCAGACCCATTACACCAAAACCCACCAATGAAATCTAAGTCCCCTGACAACAGGTGGTATGCAAGCTGGGGCTTTTAGCTCACATAACCTTCTGCTGCCTGAGCTGAATAAGAAGCCCAGCAACCAACAACTGCATGCCAAACTAACTATGTGCCATGGGGCCTCAAAAGTTGTGTCTAAAGCATTCTTGTTTGCAACATTTTTACACAATTTCAAATACTGCAAAATTAAATAAGTAAAAGTGTGATGCAAAACACCTCATTGCAGTCTGTGACATGTTGACCCTTCTTGACTGTTGAAAGCAGAACCAGAGATTATTGGTTGATAAGATGCCAATTAGGCCATAAGGAAAATCCTGGAGACACATGGCCTTGCTCAGTCTTCAGACCAGCCCTACATCAAGCCACAAGGCCTCAGCCAGCCTGTCATCAGAAATCAGAGGCTGAGAAATGCATCATCAAAGAAATCTGGCTGCCCTACTTGGGATGGACAGGATAAGATCCTGTAACATCTCACTGACCAGTCCATCACCTTTTAGGAGACCAGTTGAATAAGTATATTGGAGGCATTGGCTGCTGAAATTATCATTCACCCTTCTCCTTCTTTGTCACATAGTCCTCCCCCCCCCCCCCATGCACTGTAATAAGTAAATCAGGGGCAGCCACACATAAAACTAATGGCACACATCCAATGAAACTATTGACATAATGCAACTTATATGCTAGTGAAACAAGTATGATGTTCCAGCAGCAATGGATAGTGTGTTGGTCATGTTGCTCACAGAGAATCCAGTCTAGATAATTTTTTTTAAAAACTGGATTTCCCAAGTTTAGCCTACCCTAGCCTTTAATTTTGGCACGAAGAGCACAAGATTTCAAACCCATTACCTCCACTTTGACCTTGAACATACTCAGAATATTGAGTGAATTTTTAATGTTTCATCAGAGCTTGAGCTGTTCTTGGTACATAACTGAAGTTTAGCATTTGCTTGTCATTTGAGTAATAAGTGTCAAAGGCACATCTTTACAGCTTGATGCTGCATCAGACTGCAAAAATCCATATGTTATGTCAAACATTGCCTAACCTAGCAGCAAAAATGTTAAATCCTACTCAGTAGGTTGTGGTGTACATCAGCACCTAATGTTAAAAAACATGGTACATCAATTGTTTTTTAAGGCAGAACACATCATAAATAATTATAAAACTGGTACATCTATACTCTTACCTTTGAACTTGATAATTACAACAGCAAACATCTGAGCACTGCAAAGACACAGCAATGGCGACCCTGACACCATTGCTAGGTTATTGGTGTGGTCACATTATTGCGCATCAAAAACCATAAAAATGTATCAGCCAAGGTAACAAGAATGCAGTGAAATAAGTTTCTTACATATCCAAGCCATCAAGCAATATTGCATAATTGGAGTTGTATGAAGTGGGATCATTTAGGGCCTTAGTATTACTGGATTTACCATAATGACAGTTTGACCAATAGTAATAATGGCTTACTATTACTGCCTTTATTATGCTTAGTACTACCAACATTGCAGCATTACATTGCCTGCAAATTGATGCTTCTTAGACATAAGATGCTACAAGTAATTCTTCAGGCAGAACATATCACAAATAGCCATAAAACAGGTACATCTACACTCTTACCTTCAAACCTAAATAATTACAAAATGAATTGAAGTGGCGGGCAAATATGACGTCCAAATATGGTAGGAGCATGACATGGAATATGACCTTGCAGGACACTGAGTTGAAAGGGGATAGGGTGGGGAGGTTAGGCTAGACTAGGCTAGACTAGACTAGACTAGACTAGACTAGGTTAGGTTAGGTTAGCCTAGGCTAGCTTAGGTAAGGTGAGGTAAGGTTAAATAAGGCTAGGTTTGGTTAGGCTAGATCATCTTGGCACTCAGTCTTGAAATTCAGTCATACTATGTCACTGAACGATCCCACTTCATGCAACTCTGACGATGGATATCACTTGACTGCTCCAATATGTAAGACACATTTCATTGCATTCTTGTTACCTTGGCCACATGCATTTTTGCAGTCTTTGATGAACAATGATGTTGTGGCCACACACCAATGGCATAGCAATGGCATCAAGGTTGTGGTTACTGTGTGGTTACAGCACTTGGATGTTTGCTATCATAATTGTTTAATTAAGTTTGAAGGTGAGGGGGTCATGGTATACATTGCCACCTAATGTTAAAGAAGAGCACTGTACCTCAATTGTTGTTTTCAAGGCAGAGCATCTAGTGAATAATTGTAAAACAGGGCATCTAAGTTCTTACCTTGGAACTTAAATAACTGCAAAAACAAGCATCCCAGCACTGCAAACACGCAGCAACCGCAACCCTGGCACCATTGCTATGTGTGATCCCATTACTTTGCATCAAGAGCCATGCAAATGTATGGGGCCGAGGTCACAATAATCCAACAAAGTATGTTTCTTGTGTATCCCAGCAGTCTTCTGTACTGTTTGTACATTGGTTGACATTTGGGGGGGGGGGGACAAATGTGATGTCTTTGGGTAGGGAATGAAAAGCAAAATGAGAACATGATGGCCAAACAACACTTCTTAATGTGGTACATATATATATGCATGGAACATGGATGCCGATGAGACACTGGGCTGAAGGGGATAGGGTGGGGTCAGGTCAGGTAAGGTCAGGTTGGGCTAGGTTAGGCTAGTTTAGGCTATGCTCTGGACTATCCCGACCAGTCTGTTTCATAAACATACCTACACACACTAAGAAACATATTGCATTGCCTTATTATTGTTACCTAGGCCCCACACACTTTTTATGGTGTCCTTGATTATCAGTAATATTGTGCCCACACAATGATAACACAGCAACTGCACTGGGGTATCAAGGCGGTGGAACATGTGGCAGTCGGGAGCTTACTTATGCAATTATTAAATTTTGAAGGAAGGAGCATGAATTGAGCTGCATAATTATTTACATGTCCCAACTTAAACACAACAAATGATGCACAATGCTCTTTTTTAACATTAGGTAGCAATGTATACCCACACAGGTGAGAGCATAATGTACCTGTTCTGATTATTCACATGTTCTCCATTAAAAGATCTGATGAACAATGCTCTTTTTAAACATTAGGTACCAATGTAAACCTACACCACTCAGTAAGCCGAAATACTTGGTAATTGGTGCATGGTTACTACCTTTTTCACTCTGTACAAAGCTTTAAGGAATAATGTTCCAGAGGCATTCCCAGACAAAATGTACTCTGAAAACATTTTTCATGCAGATTACCAAAAAGCCCAGCATGTTTCAGACTCTCAAGATATGCAGGCGTGAGCGCAGGGTCAAGCACACATGTCACACAAACATCCAGGTGGGTAATTAATTTTTGGACCAGGCACTGGGCATTCTTCACACAGGCATCTCTCTAACAGTCCACTATCCCGCATTTTCACCACATACCATCATATGCAGCAAAATAAATGCAAAACTTTGACACTTTTGCGCACGTGGTAACCTTGCAGCACTGAAATAATCTCGCATATCATCGGATGTTCGTGATTTTGGTGGGCCTTTCAGTGTCACGTGCAGCGCCACGTTTGCCTAAAATCCTTTGTTACCCCCACGAACTAACAATAGCCGAGGAATCCAAATCACAAATGAACTAATAATCCTACGCATCACCTTAAATTCACCAAACAGAATGAACTTACCGGACGTATGTCAATATAAAAAAACAATTCCGGTGCAGCGTAACCCAACCCGTGGCAATGCCGCGCCAGAAATGCGGTCTGAATTGAAGTGCAGCATCTAACGAATGACCAATGATTACAGCTGATCTTGTAGGGCAGCTTTCGAATCAGCCAATGACAGTTGAGGATACATCGAAATAATAGAGGTGTTAGCTGGAAATATCAATATATTTAGTGATGAAAATAAGCGTATTAAGTTAAATTCCCTTTTTGCTCCATTTATTGCCCAAGTTTTATGTTGCTTTCGAAATTAATGGAATTTAGTGCCTTTTAAAAAATTTCCTATGTAAGTTCTGATATTTCAAATCACTTCTGGCTCAAGTTAATTTTCTCGGCCAAGATCTGGGGGCCTGTCGTATTTATGCCAAGCTATTTTGGCAGTCCCCAGAAAGAGGTCGGGAGCTGCAAACGAGGTAACAAATGAATGACATTCATTTGTTCATCCGTTCTGCCTGGTTGAACGGAAAACGATCCTCATTTTCTTCTCTCTCAATGATGCTGCAAAGAATATACTCCAGCGGTTCCAAGCAGGGGGTACGCACATATTGACCCCGGGGACAACGCATACCTCGCCCCTCGCTAGCCAAATTTGTGGCATGTATTCATATGAACGTCACGAAATGTTGATCGACAGCTAAAAACTTGAAACAGATGCTCAGAAATGAACGTAATAATGATATGCTTACAAAAATACCGTGTTAAGCAGAGGGTGAGAGTCATTTGCAGAGCCATATGTGCACTTCCGTCACGGCAAACAAAGGATGGACAAATGGCGCGCGCGCTCTAGGACACATGAGAAGTGCATTTGGATCACGCATTTAGCATCTTTCGCTGTTGTGTGTGGGGGGGGGGGGGGGGGGTTCTGCGGTGGGATGCGTGCGTTGCGCCACTGCCGAGTCGCCGCTGAATGTTTGTGCGCTGCCGGCTGCTGCTGCCACGCAGCGAATTTATACTGGGGAGCCCATTGGTCATCATGCTAGCCAGATGATGTTAGTGCACGACTCGGCACGTTGTGACTCCGGTACGCTCGACATCAACACATGCTCGTGTGCGCCGCAGAGCTCGGCTGAAGTGGGTGACCGCGGCATTGGCGGGATGGTAGGTCCGGTTAGGCGCCATGAACGGTCGTCTCCCGTGCATGGCATTACACCTTAACCACGGTACCTACCTCCACGCTTTTAGCTGATGATGATATTAAAACGGGGCAAAAACGGCGCCGGATGCATCGTTGATGTGTTCAATTGGCAGGGATCCCACGCAACTAGCGAATTACATTGGCGAGGCCCCGCTGGATAACAATCCTGTCCCCCCTTCCTCAGCCTAAATTAATCCACGTAGGCTTCATGCATTCAGCGCTCCACCACACCCACTCCGAGCAGGCATATCCACTGGCGCCCTCGTCACCCCACGCATTCCCACCTCATACAGGCCCGCCCCCTTCATCCAGCGCCCTGATATCATAATTGGCTCGTCTCCGCTAGTCATCGTTAGGCTAAATTAAATCTACTTATCACATTTTAAGCCTCCAATAGAGCCACGTTTAAGTCCTGTCTAAAGCATATCACGTGAATTTAACAGCTCGGCACCGATGCAGCTGCTGGGCTGACATCAGGTGTGGGAAGCTGGCTGACGACCCGTTCCCCGCCTGACCTTCAGGGTAACGGCTCCATGTTCGGACGACGCTCCCCACGCTCGGCCACGGTGAGTGGCCCACCACCGTTCAGCCACGTCCAACGCTCGCAGCTTTCCGCTGCCGCGCCAGCGCCTTGGGCAGCGCCCCGTTCAGCACGGATGCATCGCCTCTGACGCTTCTGCGCCCTCGCCTCCCGATACCTGTCCCGGGCGAAGCTACGCATGGCTAGAAACAGCGATAAACATTAAGCAGTTAATCACGTTCTGTCACTCAAGCGGCTTTAGCGCTCGACATACCGAGCCAAATTGGAACGCCTCATTGGTACGTGCAGTGCGAGTGGGTCAGCACACACTGCTCAAGGTAGACCCCCCCCCCCCCCCCAATATCAGCCATGGAGCTGGCTATCGCCCCAATGCTCTTCAATGGATGCGTTGTTTACGTTGTGCACGCCTGGACATTCATTTTGTCTGGCCGCCGCCGCGCATTCTAGCCACGACGACATCTCAGCCAGCACGGACGGCAGCTGGGGCTTTTTACTAGACATTCCGAAGGCTTCGAAGGCGCGTTAGATTTGAAAATTCAAAGCATCACTTTCCTTGAACATCTTCACTTTTCGTCAATGTTTTGTACAGGACATGATTGGAGCGTGTACGCTTTCCAACAGTTCGGTTCATCCTGATATCATTATCATCCTGATGCCTCACCGTCTGGCTGCTGACGCGCCCTCCTGGAATCTTGATTTTGTTCGCTACATACGCTCCCCATAAAAGGTTAGTTCTGCCCGCGACCACCAGTCATCCATCAAGCCGCGAAAAGCGTCAACAGCGCCGGAAACTTGCGAAAACATCTTGTGGATCTCAAAGGCACGTGCTTGGTGGCATGTACTCATCTATTGCGCAGGGCAGGTCCGGGTGGCCGAGTCTGCCTGCACGCACAAGCGTCGGATGCACCTCGCCCAAGCGGCCCAACCGTCGTCAGCAAACCCCATACCGCGAGCGCCGTTACGACCCACAGCGTCCCACAGGCTGTGAAACTGACCATGGTATGTGGTGCTTGGCAAGTACTCTGCCGGAGGTGGGTGTGTAGGAAATGTGCACCTGAGGCTCATACGGCGGGAGCATGTTAACCTGCGTGGGCTAAGTCGTCGCCAACGGGCTGAAGACTGGAAATCTCCATGTGGGCAACGCGTTGAGTTTTCATGCTAGAAGTTGGACGTTTGTAGGCCGTCAGTCGGGTAGTCTTCACCGTGAACACTGAACGATTTGGCAGATTGATGCCTGTGTGCGTCAAGTGCAAGATTTGTCGGCAAGTTTTTCACACGAGATATTGCTCGTCCTCGGGCAGCGTCTCGGCAATGTTTCTGACGTCTCAGAAGTGTCGGCCAGCTGCGTGACTGGTATGGGGGGGGGGGGGAGGGGGGTTTTACCTTGAGCAGTGTGCTGACCCGCTCGCACTGCACGCACCGATGAGGCATTTTCCAGTAATGCCAGTGTCGAACAAATTGTGCACTTCCCATAGCCATTGATGGATTGCGTCCTGCAATGGATTTCACTCAAGCGGTGGATAGTTTTGCTCCTTTAGTACATTGTTTTCGGTTGGGCAGGTTCAGAGTCGAGATGCACACGCGCAGACAAAATCCTTATTAGTTTGGTGCGGTATGTCGACAGCTAAAGCAGCTTGAGCGACAGAACTTGATTAACTGCTTAATATTCATCGCTCCTTTCTAGTCATGCGTAGCTTCGCCCGGAACACGTTTAGGTTGACCCGTGGCCCGGCCACAAATGATAAGTACCTAATGACAATGCATCTGAACGGATAATGTCTCATCCATCATACACGGCTCAATGAGTCGCTGATAGAGTTTAATGTTACCAAAGACTCCACGCTTCGAATGTTTGTCCTTGCATTTTTAATTTTAGTTGGTGCTGATTATTTGCTTTCCCTCCCTGCCTAATCGTATTGCATGATGTTAAGGACAAATAGCTCAGGCCATTCAAAACCAACTTCATAACACCGCCTGCCATGCGGGAAGCCAATAATTTGATGCCCTACGTGAAGCAGCCGCGCTACCATTTGTACTTCAATGCAGAGCACAGCCGTGAGTGCTACCAGGACATCTGGCCACGCGCTGTCGAGCGTGATGTTTTGTCGAAGCAATTTTCCGAAATATCGTGTCGTATATTGCATATCCGTACCGACAATGCCCATATGCATGAAAGTACATTGGGCAGGCTAGGACTACATGAAACTAAAGCAATGCGGTTGAGACAAAGGAGCGGGTGCAGGCATGCCCGTTTGTAAAAATGACTTTTTTCTTTTATGGTGAAGGGTTACGTTTTTTGCGGTTTTGAGACGTTGATGACCTCTTAGGTCTGGTGGCACAACGCATTTTGGTAAAATGTGACGTTAGTCACCCTGACGTGTTACACATGGCAAGTGCAAATGTGCACCATTGGTTTAACATGGAAGACGCATAATTTGCTAATTAACAAAAATGGTCAGCTGGAGGTAACAGCGAGCTTTTTTGATAGTTGCGGATAGTCTCAGTGAAACGAAACAAGCATACTTATATTCTGCAAATAACAGCTGGTTACACTGGTGAAAGCGCGTGTCAATGCGGGCGCACGTGTCATCGGCGGACAGCATCCGCGCTTGCTGCCGTGATGGCATGCTGCTCCATGTTGACAACGTCTTCCTATCAGATCTTATTCCAGCGTTATTGCACATCATCAGCTGCAGTTTTGCTGCCGTGGTGATACTATGCAAGTGAGCAATATTTCTCGTCGGGCCAAGTGTTAGATCCAACCACGTTAGAAATGTTCAAACCAACTCCAGCTATCATCAGAAGTCGCCCAAGCAAGACTGTTCTCAGGATCGACTCATAACCGCAGTGTATGAGCTGCAATAATATGCGTTTTATCTGTTAGGGGACTGTACAGAAACGTTCAGGGATTCCAGCAGTAATAGTGCATCATCTTCACCTGATGCCAAGGCACCGCATGTGTCAGACAATGTAATCGCTATTGCTGTCAAATGTATACTGCTGCACTGTTGTAAGTGAATCGGGCGCTGCACGGGTGCTGTGTTTGAACGAATTTTTCGTCCTACAGTGATAACAAACCACTAATAGTGCGATCATTGTCAACACTGTCTTGGGGCAGCTGGGCTGGCTGGGCGCGGGTAGGCTAACAGTATCGAGCATGCGTACATAAGTGTGATTACATGGCCACTAAAAAGTCAGCTCTACTAGCAACACTCTTACAGTTAACATGCGCTGGACACGACATTGACATGAGGGGTGCTTCACTTGCTGCACGAACTAAAGCCTGCAGGGCCGCTGCTCGTCCGGAGACGCAACAGTTCGGAGCAGCGTCTCCGGAGCTGCCGCACGCTCGCAATGCTTGTTCAGTGAAATAAGAGGCGACAAAGCATCCCCAATAGGATGAGCCATCCTGCTAGCATATTTGAGGTGCGGCTGAGGATAATTTTCTTCAAAAGTGCGTTGAAGTGTTTTCTGTTCTATTTTATACTAACTGTAATGCGTATTTTTGTCGATGAAATTTTGGTGCGTTGCGAATTTCATCAACTTCAGCTCGGATAATGTTGCGACCAGGAGACGAAGGTAGGAGCTTGCAATAGCGGGGAGGAGAGAGGGTTACACGACTATAGTGATTTGCAACTGAAAACTCATTTACTGCGCCCCATGTACGCAATGTCTTCTGAATGGCTTACCACAAGCTTGCATATTTTTGATTTATTTACTTTTACCTGTGTGCCCCGTTTTTGTCTGCGTTTATGCTTGTGCGCATTAATTGCTGTAAAATGCTAAAAGGGCACGTATATCCGCCACCTTCCTATTGATGATGGCAACCTTCGTAAATTGTGGGATGGCCATTGAGGGGCACGAGCATCCAGCTGCCGACTTATCCCGTGAAAACGTATGCAGCTCGCCGTTACATTAACCATTTGCCGGCCCCTTTCGCGGTGCATGATAAACGTGCATGAGTGTGGCATCTCAAAAAGGCAATCGAAGCACCCAGATCACCACTCGAGTGCACAGGCCGCTTGCCGCACAAAGCCGGCCTTCCTCCTAGTTCTCATCACCCCGTAAAGGTGGCGCCACTGCAGCCGGCTCCGGTCGCGCAGACTCCATGACCTGCCTCACTGCTGACGTCACGCCGCCCTGGAGCCGAGGGCGCCGGTGAGTGCGAGGTCCACAGTCGTGCGAGAACACCTCGAGCGGCAGCAGACTGCGCTTGCCATGACGCTGTGTGGGCAGGTGACGATGCTGCTGTTTCTGCTGCTGGCCTGGGTGGCGCCGCTGCGGGCAGACCCCTCCACCCACAGGGTCGGCCTGCTGATGCCACGCGTTGTACCGCCCCAAGTAAGAGATTAGGGCTCTCAGGGGTATGTGCACAAGACTGTCATGGAAAGTGGAGGCAAGGCACTCCGTGCTCGACTTTTTTTCGTGCACCGGTGTGGCGTTAATGCTCCCGCGATGGCGTGATCTCAGAAATATTTGTTCCGATATTTTTGTGTGAATCACTAGCTTCACCAAACGCTTTGTTCTAAAAAGTTCAGCACATAGGTTTCTGCAATTTGTAAACGACCTTCGCAAACTCGAAGATCTTGTTTATCACAGCCCTCGGGTAATAAACCTTTTTTGTCGAGGTTGTCTGGGTAGCCTTACGTTCAATTGCTCGATAAACTATGTTGTTTCGACATGTGCCATTTGCTCTGCCCCTTTATGCCGCAGCTAGGACCACATCTAGGAACACAGCTAGGACGATAACATTCTATTTTTCCAAGGCATATAATATCAAGCGAGGCCGCACGTGCAAAGGAAGAATTCAGGGCAGGGCAGGGCAGGGCAGGGCAGGGCAAAGCTTCACGGGAATAATATTTGACATTGCATTATCTGGTTTGCCATATCTTGGATCGCGTCAAAACTTGATATCTGGTGTATGGTAACGAAAACTATCCAACGTCATTTGTTTCGTTTCTGTACCGGCTTTGTTCCTTGACACTGGACTGGGGTTTATGCACGGAATGTTCGAGCCGTATGACCTAATTTGACTTGTCATAAGCCGCGGACGCCGGCGGGCTACTTGTGGCGTTTGACAGCGCGGCACGGCTTATTCAACACCGCCTCCCCTGCTGGTTTGACTGGTCAAATGTCCATTGCAACGACGTTCAGTGCGAGCAATATTAGCCCGATGCAAGAGGTCGAAAGTCCATTGCAATGACGCTCAGTGCGAGCAATATTAGCCCGATGCAAGAGGTCGAAAGTCCATTGCAATGACGTTCAGTGCGAGCAATATCAGCCCGATGCAGTTATGTGTGTGTTACGCACATAACGCCGTCGAGGGTTAATGCTAAACTTACACGAAAAAGCGGCGGTCATGACTCGCTAGCCTCCACTTGTTCTTTGCCCACGTTCGCTCTGAACTCTTGCTTGCTAAAATTGTTGTCATCTCTGACAGAGTTCAGTTTCTACCTTGGTGTGACACCTCAATGAAAGGGGCACTTGAGCTTTCAGTCATAAATCCGACGCGTCCAATTTGGTTGGTGATACCAGTTTTCTCGAAATCCTTTAGAATGACCAAGAATTTCGAATTGATGTAGCCGCTCCGACAGGAGAAATGTAATTCGGACCTCCAGCTTACCGTGCACGGCATTCAGACCTCCTGCTCACCATGCACGACATTCGGGCCTCCTGCTCACCATGCACGGCATTCGGACCTGGTGCTCCCCATGTACGGCATTCAAGCCTCCTGCTCACCATACACGGTATTCGGACATCCTGCTCACCATGCACGGCACTCGGACCTGGTGCTCACCATGCACGGCATTCGGGCCTCCTGCTCACCGTGCACGGCATTCGGGCCTCCTGCTCACCATGCACGGCATTCGGACCTGGTGCTCACCGTGCACGGCATTCGGACCTCCTGCTCACCATGCACGGCAGTTTACGTAAATTATGGCCCAAAGCGTCGGGAAGACTTTTGCCTCGATCGTCCCGTCCAGTGGCATGATTTTTAGCTGGCTATGCGAATAAAGACGGTTGTTAGGATCGGTGGGATGGTCTGACCCTGGTGAGTGCACTGCTCTATACAACGAACATACCTTTCCGTGGATTGGTAAGCTTCCAGCTACGACAAAAGACAAGTAGAAAAATATAAACGGCTCAAAACGTCCAACAGCCATACATCATTTCAACTGCCACAATATTACTAGCAGTGATGTGGCTTGACAGACGCATTGATCGTGTCCTGCGAGCGTGTAGAAGCGACATTACAACGAAAACAGTTGTTAGCCTTTGCTCTTTAAATGTAAATTAAATTGTCCTTACTCTTCACTGCGTTATCCCAATCATTGTGCACTATTGTTCTCAACCATCTTGGTTTCTAAAGATGTTATTTATAATTCGAAATGATAGCAGCTGGCACCGTTATCCCGACCAACTAATTTTTCTTAGTCCATGTACGATTAGGTCGAAAATTAGTCGCCCTTGTTTTGCTAATTTTTTAACTTTGAAAATTTTTTAACTTTTTTTAACTTTTTTAACTTTGAAATTCTGTTCTTAAAAGTTTAAAAATCCCTGGAAATATCCAAAGGGTCGCATAACATGGCAAATTTTAATTCATTGGGAACATGAATTCCTGGAAACTCCACGAGTACTGGAAAACAGTACAACACAGTGGCGTGAGACATCTTCAGCGAAACAAAATTTGTTGCACATGCTTACCACCACACCAACGATACAACAGGGGTTTCGAGACAGGAACTTGAAAATGTGCTATATCATTGCGCGCTATCGGTTTGCGGTGAATTCTCACCGACTATGGTGCGAAAGAAATACCATGTCAGGGAGGCTGTAGAAACAGTCGGTCTGCAGCAACTTAGGAAGTGTCGATCGCGGATTTTGATGTTGTTGGATATAGGGCGTCGGCTCTAATCTGCGTCTCACACTAGAATAGTTACTAACCAACCATCACATAGTGCAGCCCAAGAGCCTTGTTCATCTGTGGCCAATTACCTACACCGCAAATTTTTCGCGTGATATATATGTACATATATATACCAATAACATATATATATATATATATATATATATATATATATATATATATATATATATATATATATATATATATATACCAACGATCGTTTGATGATGATTTTAACCATTATCTTCTGGCATACCTGTAGGTAGGTTATTTTCAGCATAAGAACCGTATCTCGTTACCCGTAACCATCGACCCGTTGCTATGGAACCTCTTGCTGCGCTACGGTTGTCGTGGTCTCAACCTGTCTACAGTTTCCTTAGGTGCGGACCGCCCTGCAACGGCGGGCTCAAACACAGGAGAAAACTTCCGGCTGATTCGGTGGACTGGTCCCGGGGTCTTTGCCCTCTGACACCTAACTCGGCGGACTGGCCTCTGGGTCTCTGCCCTGTGGCACCTAACTCGGCGGACTGGCCTCTGGGCACCTAACTCGGCGGACTGGCCTCTGGGTCTCTGCCCTGTGGCACCTAACTCGGCGGACTGGTCTCGGGGCCTCTGCTCCCTGACACCTGATTCTGTGTACAAGTCACAGGACTCCTGTCCCCTGACACCGGATTCTGTGGACAAGTCGTCACAGGTTTCCTGCCCTCTGACACCTGATTCTGTGGAACAGTCCCAGGGCTCCTGTCCTCTGACCGTGGACCGGTCCTGCGGTACCTATGCGTGGAAGTATATCGAACACCGTCCGCCCTATCCGCACCGGACTGCCGAGTGCCGGATACTGTCCGAGAACGGATCCCGTGCCACCGGTCCGGGCCGGATCCTCGTGGTCCGTTGGATCAACCCTTGCCGCATCCAGCTGAGCCGATTCAAGCCCGGTGTTGGCGTGCTCGATGCGTGACAGCGTGACAGCGTGACGTGACGATCAGGAAGCGGAGCATGAGCCGAAGCCCGCTCCGCCACGCGACGCTTACGCCCCCACCCGTTGTTTACAGCCGGAGACGTACTTCTGCACCTCGCTGAAGCTGGAGGAGGATAAGGATCTGTATGTTGGTAAGGGCGGTGTATGCATGGGACGGTCGATGACGGTAAAATATTGGTGCGATAGCGCGTCGTGATCTCCCTAGCGCTGTCTAATTGCTAGTCACGTGTTACAATGGATGTGTTACCCTGGAGACCCGCATGTCTGGATCCTTTTCACTTTAGGCCACCGATGAGGAGGATAGTGCTGATGATAAGAATCGGTATGGGTTAGGATCGCGCGAATGTGGAACAGCATGTGATTGTAACATTAGCTGTGCGGTGGGATGGCGTTGTCTCCTTTGCGCTGTCCAGTTATTCGTCGCGTTTGACACTGAATACGCCCAGCGTCATTCCGTTCCTCATCTGCTAGTGTGTTCCTGAGCTCGGGACGCGAGAGGGGAGCACAGTCAGTCCTGAGGTCGTTGACCGACAGAGGTCGGCGGGATCACTGGCGCGGCCCCGAGACCTCCATCGGAGGTGCGAGAGAGTGACGCGGAGACACAGTCCGTCCTGCGGTCGGTGACCGACAGAGGTCGGCGGGGTCTCTGGCGCGGCCCCGAGACCTCCATCGGAGATGCGGGAGAGTGACGCGGGCACACAGTCCGTCCTGCGGTCGGTGACCGACGGAGGTCGGCGGGGTCTCTGGCGCGGCCCCGAGACCTCCATCGGAGGTGCGGGAGAGTGACGCGGGCACACAGTCAGTCCTGCGGTCGGTGACCGACGGAGGTCGGCGGGGTCTCTGGCGCGGCCCCGAGACCTCCACCGGAGGAGCGAGAGGGTGACGCGGTCACACAGTCCGTGCTGCGGTCGGTGACCGGCTGGGGAGGCCGGCGCGGCACGGCCCCGAGACCTCCATCGGAGGAGCGGGAGGGTGACGCGGGCACACAGTCCGTCCTGCGGTCGGTGACCGGCTGGGGAGGCCGGCGCGGCACGGCCCCGAGACCTCCATCGGAGGAGCGGGAGGGTGACGCGGTCACACAGTCCGTCCTGCGGTCGGTGACCGGCTGGGGAGGCCGGCGCGGCACGGCAGCCCCGTCACGGGCGGACGACGCCCGCCGCCACCGTTAGCCGGCCGCCACCCTGCCAGTCATGGCGCACGCAGGCGGCGCCGCGGCACCGGCCGGAGCCGCCGCCGGGTCGCGATCCGCGCCGCTCCGATGCGCGCCGGCGACTCGTGGTCCCGCCTCAGCGGCACCGCACGGCGCGGAGAGTGGCGAAACACGGCCGGCGAACGTGGGTCAAAGGCGTGCAGAAGAGAACGGCACCGGCCACAACCGGAGGCGTGCAGAAGAGACCGCCGACTGGAGCCGGCGGGGCCATAATAACACTGAGGACTCCCTAGTGGAAGTGGGTCACGAATTCAGGATGGCAATGCTTGGATTGGAATAAAAATATCATAGGAGGAAAAACCTAGTGGTAGATTTAGTTTTGCAGCTCATTTGAGTGCAGGTCATGCACCGTAACAATTGTTCTAAAAGCGAATGTTACGCACCATGTTTGCTGCCGCCACCGAAGGAGAGGCAAATGTGGGTCCTTGATCCCGCGTATCTATTTATTATTATTCATTCTGGCTTGGCTCTCACCTAAGCTGCAGCAGCATCTGATCTCCGGTTCCAGACAGTGACTGCTTTGGAATTATTGCAGCGGTAATCTTGTTTACGCTGCAACGCGACAAGACTTCTCCCTCTGTTTTCGCATGTCTACTTTCATTCCTCGGTCTCAGTGGAGGGGCAGGATGGTGCATTCGGGCCCACACTAGCTATCCTGACACTCTTCGGGTCCCTGCTACCTTGACACATTCAAATCAGGCAATTCAGACTAGCGGCACATCCACCCGCATACCAGGACATACATCATGCTGCATCCCTGCACCATTTCGTTTCACCGGGGACATGCTGCAAGCATTAGTCATGACTCGCCCTCAATGCCGGACTAGCCCCCCCCCCCCCCCCCCACACACACACACACTCCCCGAGCACTCTCACAGTGCTGGATCAGGTTCCCGTTGCGGGGAAGATTCTGCGTCAGAGGCGACCCCGCATGGCCGTAGTGCCACCAGTCTCTCCTCGGTTCCGTAGACCCGCAGCAGTCCGCGATGGCCTACAGAGTCTCAGTCTGACCACAGCAAACTAGACCGGAGGCGCAGTTTCGCATGATTCCATCACTTGGCGCCAGATCTGCAGCTGTTTGTGCGCGGTGTTTTCTTGCGGCTTTTCAGAACGTAACGCACCATCACTCCTCGTTATAACTCGTCACAGCCTTGCACGTCTCATCAACAGTGCAAGTGGGTCACCTGACGCGAGTGTGTCGCTCCCGTGAACTGTGTGTCAGGTCAGTGACCAACATCTCGTCCCGAAAGTGGGGTCAGGTCAGTGACCAACGCCTCGTCTCGGTAGTGAGGTCAGGTCAGTGACCAACACCTCGTCTCGGTAGTGGGGTCAGGTGAGCGACGAGCACCTCGTCTCGGCAGTAAGGTCAGGCCAGTGACCAGCATCTCGTCTCGGCATTGAGGTCAGGTCAGTCACCCTCACCTAATCTCGACAGAGAGGTAGTGACCAGCACCTCGTCTCGACGGAGCGGCAGTGACCAGCACCTCGTCTCGGCATTGAGGTCAGGTCAGTCGTCATCACCTCGTCTCGACAGAGAGGTAGTGACCATCACCTCGTCTCGACAGAGCAGTAGTAACCAGCACCTCGTCTCGGCAGTGAGCTTCGAGCCAAACGCGACAATGGAGACGGCTCACCACATGCTGTTGTACGGCTGCGAGCTGCCCGGCCTGACGGAGGCCGTCTGGAACTGCGGGGACATGGCCAACCGTGACCCTGCCAAGAGGACCGGCCCTGTCTGCCGCGGCCGATCACAGGTCAGTCTCACGTCACAGGGCACGAGTCAGGCTGGGGGCACAGGTCACAGATCAGTCTCGGGTCACAGATCACAGATCAGTCTCGGGTCACAGGTCACAGGTCAGTCTCGAGTCACAGGTCACAGGACAGTCTCGGATCACAGGTTACAGGTCAGTCTCGAGTCACAGGCCACAGGACAGTCTCGGATCACAGAGCCCTCACACGAATCGTCCAGAGCCTTCGCACGAATTAAAACAACATACTAAGAGTGACATTTCATCGCAAAATCACCCGCTGTTGACATCAGCCATAACTCACAAATCACAACTTGTAAATCACAGACGAATATGGGACCTCCAACCGTTGATTAGATTCGTCACAGGTCACAGAGCACCGGAATTAGCACGAACCGCGCTCATAGACCATAGCGCGCCTCACGCTGCTGAGCTAACGGTGCCAGTTCTCGGCAGACTTTATACCGGAGGTCGCCGACGCGGCACTAATCCCCAAATAAGCGACCTCGCACGGCTTACACGACGACCGATGCTTATCGATGGGTTGTCCGGCATGTGCACACCGGGCAGGATAGGTTATGGGTGCTCTGGCACGTGTATGCAGTCAGGACAGGTCACAGGTGCTCCTACACGTATACGCCAGGCAGGACAGGTCACGGGTGCTCTGACACGCATGCGCCAGGCAGAGCAGGTGACGGGTGATCTGACATATTGACAAATATGTACCAGGCGGGGCAGGTCATGGTGTTCCGACACATGTGCACCAGACTGGACAGGTCACAGGTGTTCCGGCACGTGTGTGCTAGGCGAGACAAGTCACGGGTGCTCTGACACATGGGTGCCAGGCAAGACAGGTCATAGTGCCGGCTACACCAAATCAAAATTATTGGTCATTCTGGAGGATTTCGAGAAAACTGATATCACCGACCAAATTGGACGCGTCGGAACTATGACTGAAAGCACAAGTGTCCCTATAATTGAGGTGGCATCACATCAAGGTAGAAACTAAGGTTTTGGGTGCCGGCCACAATACACGGCGCCGCAGCGCCTCTACGGCTGACCGGCCTGACCACACCAGCGTCACCACGCTGTATCACCGTCCCAGCCGCGCTCTACCCAAGCTGACACGTAGCGTGATGTAGGCCGTTCTGTGCTGCTCGGACGCGCAAGTCGCCAAAATCCCAGGGATCATGGACAGGTGCACCGGAATGATCACGAATGTCCGCAGATGGTCATCTGGCTGTCTGTCTGAAAACTGAGTCTTTGAACATCTGTCGGCCCTTGTTTCTTCACCTTGGTTTTAGAACCTTGAAATTATTGTAAGATTACGTTTGACAAGGACGTGATTCCTCATATGGGCGTATTTCACAAGTCATTATCACCTTTGTGGACAGACATGCCTTGTGCTCCACTTGATACTCGCTGTAGCTGCAAAACGATGTTTGCATACCAGCTGCCAAACCATGGTTGACTGGTTAATGCAGCCTATTACTCATCTATCGTCCTAAAGTACAGGGCTGTCGGTGCGATTTAGGTCTTTTGGCAGCAAGTATATTCCACGACAGCGTAATGCATTGTTGCTGAATCTTCCGAATTCGTGACCTTATTTCTACGGTCTTTGTGGTGTGGGAATTCCTTCAGGTGGAAACACATCTGACCCATCACTTTCCCGTCCTCAGCAGTGCCGCGCACTTTCGTCCGTTGATTAATGCGCTATGCAGATTAAGATGATCTGTACAGACCGGTAATCTAATGGGGATAAGGTCCAGTTGCGGGACATTTACATTTTTCTGTGGGAATTCAGACCAATGCCAAGCTAATTCTTGTCTTCGTATCAGCAGGGCCGCTCAAGTAAACTGACTTGATAAATTGTGCACAGTGGTGGAAGTGAATGAGAATGGAATCGAACGTAGAATATGTAAGTTCTTTCTATACATCGTCGTCGTAAATGCAAAAGGAAGCAAAGGCTCCTCCGCCACTTGTCGCTGAACCGAACCGCGGACAGACGGTCCCACGGCCACAGCACACTGCACTTCACTCTCGATCGCGATTGGGGGGCCCGCCCAACCATCACAAATGCAGTTGATAACCATTCTTTGCACGCATTTGGATTGGACTTCAGTCTCTTTTCCCGATTTGAACTGGCTGCTCCCACTGAAAGGTCACAGCGTAAAATGGCATATAGCTGCTTTCATTGTCTTCGAGTTGGCGCTGTGCGACCGATGTGTTGCGCGCATGGTTTCGCTCGCATCGGTTTACTGTTGTCACAGGTGATCTACGCGTGGGCGAAGAACGCACCCAAGCTCGTGCTGCCGAAAGGTGTTGCATTCCACCTTGGGAAGAATACAGATGTGAAATATCTCACCTTGCAAGTTCATTACGCGGACGTGTCATTATTCAAAGGCAAGTGTCGTGCAACAAGCAATTCCTATTCTCCATACGAAATCCGTCTATGGTCGTGCACAAACTTCATAACATGAGCTGTTGGCAATGGTCAGGCACGGTACTGAAATAAGCCTCTATTTTGTATCAGCCTTTTCTATCTAGCCTTTTCTTTGATTTGCAGATGGAAAAACAAAAGACGACTCTGGCGTGTTCCTCACATACACCGAAACTCCGTACGTATCGCAAGAAACAATCAACTTCTGAAGATATCATTCATTCGCACGTATGCTTCAGCTCACCCTTAGGGTGCCTCGGAGATGACTTTTGCGCATGGGTTCCCAAAGGCAAAGGCACCGGAAATGACTGAGCAATACAAGCACATAGTTCGTTGGCCTCGACCACAACCGCAACGTGCTTGCCGCTGCCCGTAGCCTAATTACTTCTTCCAAGCCGCAGCTGAAGTCCAGTGAAGCGTTCTGCTTTGCCAGCTGGCCATCCGCCTGTTCTCAAGCATCGCTCCCACAGGCAGCCCAAGTCGGCAGGCGTCCTTCTGATGGGCACTGGCGGCTACATCTTCCCGTACTCGCAGGCGCACATGGAGACCGCCTGCGACATCGCCGAGGACAAGCTCATCCACCCATTCGCCTTCCGCACGCACACGCACGCGCTAGGTACGTGCGAGCCGCGCCGCTGGCCGTCCGGCTGCTGGTGACGGACCACGTGCTCCCTGCTCGAGGGCTTGACGAGAACACGCTTGTATGCACCTGTCCAGCCGGATGGAGCAATGCGTTAAACTGTGCGTGCACACAGAATCATGCGTAACTTGGTTTTGGTTTCCCTCTTTTTCTATAGTATGGTTTGCTCGGGAACATACTATGTGACGTTCTTGCTATCACTCCCGGCGGCCGCCAGGACTGAATACACTGCTCTCCAGTCAGCTATCACTCCCGGCGGCCGGCCAGGACTGAGTACATGCTCTCCAGTCAGCTATCACCCGGCGGCCGGCCAGGACTGAGTACACTGCTATCCTGTCAGCTACCACTCCCGGCGGCCGGCCAGGACTGAGCACACTGCTCTCCAGTCAGCTATCACTCCCGGCGGCCGGCCAGGACTGGTACACTGCTATCCAGTCAGCTATCACCCCGGCGGCCGGCCAGGACTGAGCACACTGCTATCCTGTCAGCTATCACCCGGCGGCCGGCCAGGACTGAGCACACTCTCTCCAGTCAGCTATCACTCCGGCGGCCGGCCAGGACTGAGACACTGCTCTCCAGTCAGCTATCACCCCCGGCGGCCGGCCAGGACTGAGCACACTGCTATCCTGTCAGCTATCACTCCCGGCGGCCGGCCAGGACTGAGCACACTGCTCTCCAGTCAGCTATCACTCCCGGGGCCGGCCAGGACTGAGTACACTGCTCTCCAGTCAGCTATCACTCCCGGCGGCCGGCCAGGACTGAGTACACTGCTATCTGTCAGCTATCACTCCCGGCGGCCGGCCAGGACTGAGCACACTGCTCTCCAGTCAGCTATCACTCCCGGCGGCCGGTCAGGACTGAGTGCACTGCTCTCCAGTCAGCTATCACTCCCGGCGGCCGGTCAGGACTGAGAACACTGCTATCCTGTTAGCTATCACTCCCGGCGGCCCGGCCAGGACTGAGCACACTGCTCTCCAGTCAGCTCGCGCCAGGGCAGCTTTGTTTGCGAGCGCCTGAGCGGAATCGGCGCACCAGCGCGGCCCGTTAGCGCTCCGAGCAGCTGGAAGGGTGGTCGGCGCATCACACCAGCCGCCACGTGTGCCTCGTGCCCGCCGTCAACACCGCGCGCTCCTAACTCTCTCAGGCCGTAGCTGGACCGTGACGTGGGGACGGGCCGCTGTCGGCAGGCGAGGTGGTGTCCGGCTGGCGTGTCCGCTACGCCGGCGGCCAGTACCAGTGGACGTTGATTGGCAAGATGAACCCGCAGCTACCGCAGATGTTCTACCCGGTGCTGGACAACGTCACGCTGAGCCGCGGTGATGTCGTGGTACGTGTGCCCACGGCGGCGGGGAGAGAGGCTTGGAAATGCAGGGAGAGCGAGGGAGGGGGAACGTGGTACGTCTGCCCACGGCGGCGGGGAGAGAGGCTTGGACATGTAGGGAGAGCGAGGGAGGGGTAACGTGGCACGTCTGCCCACGGCGGCGGGGAGAGAGGCTTGGAAGAGCAAGGAGAGCGAGGGAGCGGGGTAACGTCCGCTCCGCGGTGACGTTGCGTAGCAATAACGTTTGTTTTGCCTTTAAGCGAGCTAGAATACGAAACAATAGCGGTGATGTGGCGTGCCATGAAAGGAAGCCTTTCGGTATCTTTAGAGATTTTGCATGACTTACAGTCACAACTGAGCGTGACGTTGCGATAAACAAAATGTCTGCATCCAAAGCTGCGTTTCAGTTACGCTCCATTTAAACAGGCCTCAACCCCCACAAGTAACGTGATTTGTGGATGGCCCCTGAGGTCTTTATTGCTCCTACCAATCACGTCTGTCTGGCCCTTTATCATTACAGTAATATGCAAGTTGAAGTGTAAAACAGCTGGTTCGTAAACCTTGTTAAGATCTTTAAGTGGGGGGCTTAAATGTTTGGAGTGATTTTATTTTGGGTATAGCTTGGGCTCCCTGTTCTACGAATAGCTTCTGCGCCAATGAGTGTGGCTCAGCAAGCAGTGTGTTGCGAAAATCATAGCACATGTAAAGGGAACGTAACGGCTGCGAGCGCCCCGCCCCACAAGTGGCCTGTCTACCGGCCGACCCGTCGTGCACTCGCCCTCACAGGCGCCCTGTCTACCGGCCGACCCGTCGTGCACCCGCCCCACAAGTGACCTGTCTACGGGCCGACCTGTCGCTTGTCGTACGCCAGCCGTGGTGTGTGGCGCGGTAGGCAGCTCCGTGAGTTCGCCATCTCAGCGAGATGTTACGTTCACTGATCTCCGTGATTTCACATTTTCAGGCCGCCAGGTGTACCATGAGCAGCCACCGCGCCCGCGTCACCAAAGTCGGGTGAGTCCGTCCAAAAGCCGCATGTAGCCTAGCCTGCAAATGTTGAATGTCTTCCGGCGAGGCGGTTTGAGATGAACAGCATATCGTCCAGCAAAAATACTGCGTAAGATCTGCTAGACGGGGTACACATCTGGACCCAAAACCCGTGATGCGAGGAGTGAGCTGAGCTGGTGCGGGGATTGGAAAGCCACTAAAAATAGTTTTGTAAGATTCTGCAACAGGCGTGCGTCGAGCGTAGCCATGGCGTTGATCACACCTACGACCGGGCTGTACCGGCATCCGATCAGGCTGGACCGGCATCCGATCAGGCTGGACCGGCATTCGGGCCGCCCTCATCGGTGGCCGGCGTCACGTCACCTCCGCCCGCCCGGCACTGCCACACTCCACACGGTTCATACGGCTCACACCTCACGCGGCTTGCACTCAAACGGCTCACATGGCTCACACTCAGGCGGCTCACACTCAGGCGGCTCACACTCACACGGCTCACACGGCTCACACTCAAACGGCTCACACGGTTCACACTCACACGGCTCACACTCATACGGCTCACACGTGCTCCCACTCACGCGGGGCTCACCACTCAACATGGCGCACGTGGGCTCAACACTCACCACGGCTCACGCTCACTACGGCTCACACGGCTCACACGGCTCACACGTACACGGCTCACACTCACACGGCTCACACTCTCACGACTCACACGGCTCACACTGCTCGCACAGCTCACACTCCGCCACGTGCCGCAGGGCGACGGCGCGAGACGAGATGTGCAACTTCTACATGATGTACTGGACGGAGGGCACGCCACTGGCGCGCAGCAGCTGCTTCAGCTGGGGGCCGCCCTTCTCCTACTGGCACCGGCTGCCAATGGGGCTGCTACGGCTCTTCTCCTACCCGTGGCTCTCGCAGATCCCCGACGAGAACCGTGCCTCGACCATCGACGGCGAGGAGCTCCGCTCCTACCTGTTCGGCCGCATGCGCAACGACTAGCCGCTTGGCTGCGGGTGTTCGATATGGGCGAATTGTGTTTTCTGCGGCCGAGTGACGCACGACGGAGGCTTGGCCTGCGGCCAGAACCTGAGTGGAGATCGTGACATTTTAACTGACAGGGATGAGAGTCCGGTGTCTCAGTTTTGATACTTTGCTGCCCTTGCGATTTCTGGGTTAATTGGCAACGAACACGTGCTTGGTATCACAAAGCTGAGTGAACAGCCAGAGCTCTTGAACTGGTCGCAAGCATTTCTTGACGTTACGAATTGGAGTGAGCTTGCCCATGCCGTGAAGTATGCCAGTCATATTCGCAGCTTTTCACAGTGCTTCATTATATACAAGTGGAGGGCCATTTAAGCTTAAGCTAAATGTGACTTAAGTTTCAGGAATAGGCTGTACATTGGTTCTCCTTGTGGGCCGCCGTAATCACATGTCAGACGGATAGCATCACGTGTGTTAAGCACGTGAGCCAAGCACAGTCGAAAACAACGCCGCGTTTCCTTTTAACGTGTGGAAATGGCAGCGATGCACCGCATAGATCTGCTTGTGAGGCATGAATAACATGAGACAAATGTAGTGTAAGCCAGTCCCTGCCATTCTCGCTGAGGTGTGACGACATCAAGGCGCTGGAAGTCTGTAACTGACTAAGTGCAAAGGTCTTATGCCAAGTCATCGACCTCCCTTATATGAGGAGGTACTGGTTAAGCGACATCATAGAGCTTTCTTGGTCTAAAGTTTTGAAAACGCTTTTGAACTGTTTTCTTAAGAGGCTTTAGAACATGCCATACCGTTGATAAGGAAGCGACTGTTTGCAATGGCACACAATCCCACTGGCATTTACTAAGCAAAACACGCTTATCAAACTAAGGAAAACTTTGTAATAATACACAAACCCGTTTATAGAAATGTGTCTTCATGCTTATAGAAATGTGTCCGATGCCCTCATTTCATCTAGCTTCTGGAATAATACCAGGCCATGGATCGGTGGAGCCTCGACGTGGATCGGCTGAGGGGGTCAGAATTATTGTTTGCACCGGTGTCGTGTGGAGAAAGGTGGGCTTTGATGACCATTTAATGCAATAATTGTCCAACGATGACTATATACAGGCAAGCAAGCCCTCTGTTAGCAATGCATGCTTATCAACGGGGACGCAGCCAGGATATAGGGGCTGTTTTTGTCACGTTTGCGTCAGATAAATCACCAACTCTTTCTTAAAAGTTTTGAGACGTTCTGGTAGGAAGATAGCTGGCATCATCATTGCGTGTGCGTGGCTAAGCGGTGTTGCGGCTGAGACTACCCAACCAGCACAATTTTCTGTACTGCCGTGAATTAAGTGGAGTTGCATCGCAGCGTTGAGTGAATATTTCAGTGAACAAGAGCTGCTGGATTGTCAACCAGTCTGCAGGATGGCAGGTCAAGATGCGCGCACAGAGCTGCCTCCCTATCTAAGGATGACGACGAATAAATCCAACCTTCAACTGCCGGAGAGGCCCGGTCGCGAAAGCATTAACTGTCGTTGCGCTCGATGGTCAAACTGTTGGAAAGGAAGACATCTGTCAGTCTCAAAATAACCTTTCATTTCCATCCTACTCGCATGCATAGGGCAATTTTGGCTTGCTGGTTGAATTTCTACCAATGTTTATATTTTGGCGATAGAATGTGTCATTCTGCTGTAGAAGTTGATGTTTTCATGATCAGAAATGCAGATTTTTACACCAGCATATATGACATAAATAAAAGAGGATGGCTGCCAACAATTTTAACCCGTACCCTGATTCGCCGCTTTTTGTGACACGAACTTGTGAAGGGCGGGGGGAGGATTTCCTGACGTTTGCAAACTAAGGAAGGTAAAGCCTCGAAAACAAAACAATCAAGCAGCAAACTGTCTTAAGCGAGATTCCGTGATTGGTAAGAAGTCTCATGTTGTTGACTGACCCCCACTAGACCAAGTTGTAAGTCAAATGTTCTTGAAAACCAAACATCAGCTTTGCATGTTCACAGAAAATAAACCATGCAGTACAGTGATATAGACCATAAAGAGGTGTGTCCCTGTTTTGATTATGAGCACAATAGCATCTAGTTTTATCTGTTTGGAGCCTATATTTATAACGAAGAGTTTTGTTCATGTGACATTGCCAACCCTCCGCGCGCGGTCCGCAGGATCGTCGCTTGCCACCCACCGCACCCGCCGGCCTTGAATCGTCTTGCAGTGGTCGTAAAAAGACATAACTTCTCTGAAATCAGAATTGATTGGGGTGCTGTTTTGGTGTCAACACGCGCACAATGGATACCACAGAGGCTACCAAAGATTTAAGCAGGACTGCACAGTATGCCGCATTGGTATCCTCAGAAAACCGTAGGGGGGTGGGGGGGGGGGTCGCATCACCTACCCTCCCCCTCCCGTCATGGTGAGTGACTTGTTCGGAAAGAGCTATCTGCCTGATGTGAAGTTAATGAAAAATTTCGATACAATTTAGTTGGGATACGGCCAAAGGCTCCCCACCAGTCAAAACATGCCGCGCCAGGCTTGGAACACGCTTAAGGTACGGTGGATAGTTTAATGACGGCTGAGATGGGGCTCAAAGCACGCACGTGATTTTCGTATGGGACATGGCCTCGTGGCGGCCCGCATAATTGACGCCATTCCCATTGCCGCTCGCTACTGGTTTAAAATCTGCCATGCATTCTGCTGTCCTGGCTATCTAGGTCCTTCACTGTTTTTTTGCGGTCGAAAGTAAATCCTGCCAAAGATCGAGTTTAAACGTGAGGCCCCGGCAAGTCTCGAGGGTGGAAGAAAATCTCTGCCGCGATTGGGCTACCTCATTAGCTTAGAGCAGGTGCACCTGCTTTCTTAACACCAGCAGTTATCCTGACATTCGTTCAAGGGCAGTGTATGACTGAACGTCTCAGTTATGTGCATGATGTTGAAAATTGCAGTGATGAAAGAGATTTTCGGTGATGGGCTGATTACTGATGACGCTGCAGGACATGTACTGAATGACCATTCTGTCATAGGGTATCGCTTTGCGCTACTGGCGACAATTTTTCCTCCAAAAATTTGGCCGGCGTCATCACTTTTACCACCCCTGGTAACCTTTTAACATTCATTGAACGTCTTTACGGATGCAGCGGTGAATGTGGTGGAGGGCTTACCCCCCACGTAGATGCAATGATATTCATGTTTATGAGAGTTGCGATATATGGTTCGTTTGATTTTCGCAGCCTTGTGCCGCAGCAAAATATCTGCAGCGTGTCATCATAGCGGGTGTTCCTTCCCGAGATTGCCTCTCTTGTTATTGGGAGCATGTCTCTATGCCCTGGATATCTCAGGATTTGCTGCCCAAACCGTAAGCACAGCGACTCCTTCCTGTCTACAAGTGTTTCCATTTCAGAATCTGTAGTAGCTCTTGTTATACCCGCCAATGATTTTGAGAGCCCGCTTCTGTACTTGCTCAGTTTATTGGGCTTGGTGGCCGGTGAGCCCGGGATGAAAAACAGTCGCGGAGCATTCAAGCAGTGGTCGAACATATGTGATGTAAATTTTTACCATTTGATCCTGTGGTGAACGGAATTTCTTCATCAAGCGAAGCATATATAAAGCCTTCGAACCGCTCTCAACAATTTCATCAACATGTGCCTACCAACTCACATCGCTGGACAGTGTTACTGCTGCAGGCTTGGTACTGCTAACAATTGGTAAGCTGATCCCATTTATTGCGACGTCCGGGAGTATCAGGGGTTTCTTAGCAGTAAAAACGTGCATTGCCTGACAGTGTCAGGCTGACACTTCTCAGTATTAATCACCATCTTATTTGCAGCCATCCACATACTGATAATGCCTTCGACGCCCCCTTGCAAAGACCAGGTGGTGCAAGCGATGCGTCGCCGGTGAGCCCGTAATGAGAGCATTTCTTGTCCTTGGTATGTACAAATTTGATTGGGAGCGTGGGCATTCAGCCCATAAGGCCGAATGTGGCCCTTGTATGGCTTATTCTTGGCGAATGGGCCTCCATGTGCGTGTAGCTATGTCTCACCGTTATATATTCTCCTTCATCCAATAGCCCTGACATGATCATGACGGGCCGAAAGACCTATAATCCAAACAACCTAATCTTAAACAGCCTAAACAACCAGCGGCCGGCGACGCGCGCTCAACCGCCGCACTCACGGTGGCCAGATAACGTCACTGGAGATAACGCGTGGATCGCTGGCGAGGTTCGGCTGAGTGGTGATTCTGTGGTCGACGAGCCTGCCGCCGGCTCGCTGGTGCGTGTCCGCTCGACAGCTCGAGTGGTGCTTCGTGAGGTAGTTCCAGCTGCTGGTCCGATGCAGTCGACCGAAGCTGGCGCTTCTGTCACGCAGAGCGTGCAGTAGTCGCTGCATGGCAGTCACGCGTGCACGTGTTAGTGCAGGTCATCCAGCGCAGGAATGGCTGCTGCTCTCGGCACAAGAGCCAGCCACTGTTGGCTGATTGGAGGGGTCGTGCTTGGAAAAGTTTGAGAGGTCAGCACGCTGGCCAGGAGCCCATCCGCTGTTGACTGGGGACGCATATGTTGACTTGCTGGGCACTCACGGTCACTCAGCGGCGCTCCATAAATCTTTTCCATTTGCTTTTAAAGCGTGTGCGCAGCTGCTGGGCAGTCCTGTATGTTGACCTGCCGGGGCCCATGCAACAGCTATGGACTTCGGAGCCCGGCGCACTGACAAGGAACTCAGCTAGCCTCATCAGGATTGAAGTGTAGTGTTCCACATTTGTATGGGGTTTTAACCGAGATAGCCAGCTTAAAGATCATTCGGTGCAGTCCATGGCGTTGCCCTTCTTAGCACCTTAACCGCAGCACGCCTGCGGAGATTTGCAGACTGTTTCGCGCAGACTATTTCAAGGCCACCCAAAAATGTTATGCAAGATGCGATGACGCAATCAAACAACGAGATATTTAAAAACGTATTTACTCGTAACTCGTGCGTGTTGCTACCCCCCCCCCCCCAAAAAAAAAAC